TCCCTTCTGCTATGAGTCGAAGCTTCCTGGGGCCTCACCAGAGGCAAATGTTGGCATCAAGCTTCTTGCAACCATGAACCAAATATACCAATTTTCCTTCTAGATTATGGAGCCTGAGGGGTTCCTTTAAAACAATACAAAATGGAGTAATACAATGGCTAATATGGTACATTTTTGGTATGTGTATTATTTCACAATTAAGAACTTTTTTTGTATGTGTGTATTTCACAATGAAAGAAAAGACACTAATCATATACATTAAAAAATCCCAGGGTAAGATGGTTTCACTGGTGAATTCTACTAAATATTAAAAAAAAAAATAACATCAGGTATTCTTAAAAAAGCTCAAAATTGCTAATCATCAGTGAAATGCAATCAAAACCATAATGAGGTACCATCTCACACAGTTAAATCAGGGAATAGCAGATGCTGGTGGATGTGGAGAAAGGGGAACCATGTACATTGTTGGTGGGAATGTAAATTAGTATAGCCACTATGGAAAACAGTATGGAGGTTCCTCACAAGACTAACAGTAGAAGGATGACAATGAGCCAGCAATCCTGGGTACACTGCTGGGTACACATCCAAAAAAAAGGAAATCAGTAAACTGAAGAGATGGCTGTACTCCCATGTTTACTGCAGCAATATTATAATAGCCAAGACATGGACTCAATCTACGTGTCCACCAAAATAAAGATAAGGAAAATGTGGTGACTATACACACAATTCAATATTATTCAGACATAAAAAAGGAATGAAATCCTGTCATTTGCAAGAACATGGATGAACTGGAGGGTGTTAAGTTAAGTGAAGTAAATAAGGCACAGAAAGACAAATATTGCATGTTGTCACTCATATGTAGGAGCTAAAAAAATTGATCTCACAGAGAGGGAGAGGTGAAGGATGATTACCAGACACTAAGAGGGTGGTGGGGAAGGAGGAACAAAGGGGCTGGTTAAGAGGTACAAAAATACAGTCAGAAGAATTAAGATCTAGGATTTCAGTACCACAATAGGGTGACTGCAGTTAGCAACAATTTATTGCATACTTCAAAATATTTAGAGGAGTGGAACTGGAGTGCTCCTAACACAAAGAGATGATCAATGTCTTAAGGTGGTGAATATCCAAATCACCCTAATTACACATTGTACATTTGTATCAAAATAGCACATGTATCCCATAAATGTGTATAACTATTATGTATCCACAAAAAATTTTAAGAATTAACATCAATCCTTTGCAAACTTTTCCAAAAAACAGAAGAGAAGGCAACCCTTTCTGAATTCATTCTATGAGACCAGAATTATCCTGATTTAGTGACTACAGTATAGTCACTAAAACCAGACAATTGCCTTATAAGAAAACTACAGACCAATACCCCTCAGGAATATGGATATAAAAATCCTCAAGCAAATACTAGCAAAGTGAATCCAGAACATATAAAAAGGATTACAGATCATGATTAAGTGAAATAATCCCAGAATTGCAAGATTGGTTTACTATGAGAAAATCAATTAATGTAATACACCATATATTAATAAAAGACCACAGGCACATGATAATTTCAGTAGACATAGAAAAGGCATTTGACAAAACTTAATGCTCTTTTATGATAAAAATAACTCAACAAACTAGAAATAGGAGGGAATTTCTCCAACCTGACAAAGGACAATTACCTACAATCCAGAGCTAACATCATAGGTAATGGTGAAAGACCGAAAGGTTTCTAAGAACAGAAACAAGGAGAAGGGTATCTGCTCACATTACTTCTACTCAACCTTGCACTGAAGCTTCTAAGCAGAGTAATTAAGCAAGAAAAAGAAATAAAAGGCATCTAGAATTGGAAAGGAAGCAGTAAAACTATCTCTATTTGCAAATGATATGATCTTTTATATAGAAAACCCTAAGGAATACACAAAAAACTATTAAAGTTATAAACGAGTTCAGCAAGATTGCAGAATACAAGATCAATAGGCTAAAATCAATTATAGTTCCATACAATGGCAGTGAACAATCCAAACATGTAATTTTTAAAAAGTTCAATTTGTAATAGCATTTAAAAATACCAGAAATAAATTTAACAATTTCAAAACGTGTACACTAAAAAGTATAAAACATCATCAAAAAAAATTAAAGACCTAAATAAGTTGAAAGACACCTATGCTCATGGATTGGAAAACTCAAGATTGTTAAAACAGTAATACTCCCCAATTGATCTTTAAATTCAGTATAATCCCTAAAAAATTTTCGGCTGAATTTTTTTTGAGAAATTAACAAGCTGGCTCTAAATTTTTTTAAAAATGCAAGAAATCGAGAATGGCCAAAATAACCTTAAAAAAGAACAATGCTGGAGCACTCATACTTCTCAACTCTAAACTTATTCTAAAACTACAATAATCTAGTGTAAACAAGTAAAAGTAATCAGATACAGTGTGGCACTGGTACAAGGACAAACAGATCAATGGAACAGAATTAAAGGTACAGAAATGTATCTTATGGTCAATTAATTTTCAACAAAGATAACAAGAAAATTCAATGGGAAAAGAATAGTCTTTTAATAAACAATGCAAGGACAAGTGGATATCCACATGCAAAAGAATGAATTTTGTCCCCTATCTCATATCATATACAAAAATTAACATAAAAACGGATCAAAGCCGGGCACAGTGGCTCACTCCTGTAATCCCAGCACTTTGGGAGGTGGAGGAGAGAGGATTGTGCCACTGCACTCCAGTCAGAGCAACAGAGTGAGACTTCAACTCAAACAAAAACAAAAGTGCACCAAAGACTTAAATAATATGACATAAGCAACCAAAGAAAAAGTAGATAAATTGAATTTCATCAACTCTAAAAACTTTTCTGCTCCAAAGAACACTATTAGTAAAGTGAAAGGATAGCTGAGCACAGTGTCCCTTGCCTGTATTCCCAGCTACTTGGGAGGCTGAGGCGGAAGGAAAGAGAATCACTTGAACCCAGAAGTGCAAGACCAGCCTGGGCAACACAGTAAGAGCCTCCATCTCAAAAAAAAAAAAAAAAAAAAGAAAAAGAAAAGAAAAGAAAAAAAGACAACTCACAGAATGGGAGAAAATATTTACAAATCCTATGCTGATAAGAGTCTAGTATTAGAATATACAAAGAACTCTCACAAGTCAACACTAAAAGCACCAATAAATCATTTACAAAACAAAGGATTCAAACACACATTTCTCAAAAGAAGATACACAAATCCAAAAAGCACATAAAAAGATGCTCAACATGATTAGTTATTAGGCAAATAGAAATAAAAACCAATCTGAGATAGCATTTCACACCTACAAGGCTACAATAAAAAAAGACACAAAATAACAAAGGTTAGCAAAAATGTGGAGAAACTGGACCCTCATACATGGCTGGTGTGAATGCAAAATGGTGTAAGAGGAAATGAAACAATCTGGCAGGCCTCTAAGAAGTTAAACATGAAGTTACCGCATAACCTAGCACAGTTCTACTGCTAGGCCTACACCCGAGTACGGAATACACATGTCCACACAGAAACTTGTACACAAATGCAGGAGTAGTGTATTCATAATTATGCAGAAAGAGAACCCATCCCCAATGCCTGTCAACTAATGAAAGAATAAACACAATGGGGTACAGCCATAAAATGGGATATCATTCAGCGATAAAAAGGAATGAAGTTCGCATACATGGTATAATATGGATGAACCTTGCAAAGGTTATGCTAAGTGAAACGAGACAGACATAAAGGTCACATTTTGTAGGATTCTATTTACATGAAGTATCCAGAAGAGTTAAGTTGATAGAGACAGAAAGAAGACCAGAGGTTGCCAGAGACCAGAGGAAAGAGGGAGCAGGGAGGGAACCATGACAGAGAGGGGGCTTCTTTCTGGGGGTGGTAAACAATGTTTTGGAATTAGTGGTGATGGTTGCACAACCTTGCATATATACTAAAAGCACTGAATTGTACACTTAAAAAATGTAAATGTTGTGGTATTTGAATTATATTTCAACAAAAATGTTTTAATTGAAAAATTGAGACTTCAAAGAAAGAATGGTGAAAGTTACAACACCCTAACATGGGTTGGCTCAGTGAATCTATGTTTTCTAGTCAGTCTCTACAACTGTCATACTACCTATGTGGTTGTAAGATTTTTTAATTCCTGGCATCTACTGTAACTAAGTTAGAACACATTATATACCTTATTATAGTATTAAGGTATCAATGTTGGCTCATTAAAGTCTTGTGGGACATGAACTAATTGCTTTAGTAATGTACTGAGAATCCCCTGGAGGAAATATGTGTATTTTTTAAAGTTGTGTTTTAATGGACTGGACATTGAAAAGCTGTTTGAACATGTTAATTTTAAAGACTGCTTATACTTAACATGAGTAAACAATAACAACAATGACATCATTTCCCTGATAGGGTGCTCAGAAATCTGTATTTTGCCATAATACTCAGATCAAGAAAGAGTCAACAAAATATAAATGAATAAAAAATAGGGAAGGAAGGAAAGGGCTAACTAATATCCAAAGAAAACGAAACACATCTTGGCTAAACAGCTGTGTTGAAAACCAATTTCTTATCTTGCAATTAAGAACCGATTTCTTTCTGAAAGACACAGGACATTGGGTTAATAGATTTCTTTAGAAGAAAATCTGTTTTGGCTATTGAAACATTAAAAGAACAGAACATCTGTTTTGCAAGTAAAGACAGATTGCATATAAGAATCAAATATCAAACCACCAATTAGACTAGCATTTAATCTGTTCTATTTAAATTTTCAATAAAAATAAATGAAGTTACATTTTTGAAATTATAGTTCAGCTATAAATAGTTAATGCCAGGAACCCCAAACACTAAGATAATTTTAGAGTACAAAAGAGATAATATTTTAATTATTTTAAAGTCTACTTGATATCTATATATCAAAACCAGGTTTTAGCGCATTCTATACACCAAAAATGATTTTTAAAGTACTGTAAAGGGGAAAACTCACCATCCATGAATTCTGTACATATTGAAATCCTGTTTTCTACAAAAAATGCCCCATAAAATCCTATGATATATGATGAATCACACTGTAACAAAAATAAGACGAAAGAAGTTACAAACCCTCCAGTCAATACCAAAGGAATGCTTTACAAGTAAAATGACCAAAAAATTACCTTATAAAGAATTTCCAATTCAGACATAATTTGCTTCTGAAGTTCCAGTGTAATATCTAGCAGTATGACCTAAATATAGAAAAGTAATAACATTCATCCATGTATCCACCTTCTACTTAAGTACAGCTGTAATCACTATGAACTAGAAGAAAGAAAAAGGTGGTGGTTCCTTCACTCATCTCCCCTTCTGTCTCCCACCACCATAATTCCCAGTAATACAAACTGTCTCCACATGTCTACCCGTTGGTAGTGGGGGAGGTGGTACAGAAGTGATTGATGGGACCTGAGAAAAAGCCAGGTCTCAAAGGTCAGCAGTAATGGCTTTAGAAGTCAGTTAAGTTATAACACTCTTAATTTATGCACCCTATTTTGGCTACATTGGTTATTTTCGAAAGAGGAACACAGGAATGACCCTTAAACCAACATAAGAGAACTGTCTTGTGACTCAGATACTAGGTGAAAAACAGAGAGCATTATGAGTAAAAATGACATTTTAAATGGTGTTTATAATTACAAGAGAAAGAGTTTTTAAGAATACTAACTTTTTATCTCCTTCCAGGAGGGCAGCGTTGCTTTGCTGACATTGCTATAGGGTGTTAGAGCTTGAGGGAACCTCGCTTCACTGACTCCCTCTTTTTAGTGAGGGGGAAGCCAAGGTTTCCTTCCAGGGAGCCACAGCCTGCAACAATGGGAGGACCCTCCACCCCTACTCTGAGTCTCCTGGCTTTCCAGTACATCCTGTGCCCTACAGTTTTCCTTATTCACCACTGAATCAGATTTGTAACACAGAAACATAAAATGTTTATAAAATGACCTACAACAAATTCTAGCTTATTTTTAGCACTTATTTTTTTAAGAAAGAAGTTGGTACTGTTCAAATTTTACTAAGCACTTCAATGAAACCATTCAAGGGTAATTGTTTTTTACGTTAAAAAGACAGTGATCAGAATAAAATGATGGGAGACCATCTTTCAGATCTGTGGCAGTTCCCAACTCTAGACATTTCTAGAAAAAAACTTCACATCGAGGGTCACCATGAGAGTGTAGCTATGCACCATTCAACACTGAGTCACATTTTGTATTACAACTGAAGATATATATATACATATATATGTGTGTGTGTATATATGTGTGTGTGTGTGTGTGTATATGTGTGTGTGTGTGTGTGTGTGTGTGTGTGTGTGTGTGTGTGTATAAATCGTGTCGGGGAAGAAAACATAAATTATGAACTGCAAACTGCTGATAGAGCACAGAGAGGAAAGGACAATTCTAAAATACACATTTTATAGTATTGACATCGATTGTGGGAAAGGTGAGGAAAAAAGGCATAGGCAGTTGCCATCAGAATTTGCTTCAGGGTTATTTATAAAAGCTCTCACTAAACTCGCTTGTAGTGTGATACAAAACTGCCAAGAAACATTTAAACACTTCTTCTGATCAATAGTCATTTGCCAACAATATTCACTTACATTTTGTTCCTGTATAAAACTTAGCAACAAAATTAATTCATCTAGCACTGGTTCAATTCCATGCCACAAAATATTACAGCTATTCACACTACTATGTCAAGCACAGGGAATCTTTCACCCTAAAAAACTGTGCTAAAAGGAAGACATTATTACCCTTAAAGCAGTGGTTCTCAATCCTGGCCTCACATCATAATATCTATAGCATTTTTAAAAAAGAAAAATTCCAACCAGGTGCAATGGCTCACAACTGTAATTCTGTCACTTTGGGAAGCCAAAGCAGGAGAATCATTTGAGGCCCAGAGTTCGAGTCCAACCTGGTCAGCATAGTGAGACTCCCATCTCCACCTAGAAAAAAAAAAAATCCCAAGGCAGAGGCCTGACCCCAGGACAATGGAATCAGAATCTCTGAGGTTGGGCTCACGTCTCTGTATTTTTAAAAAGCTCCCTGGTTGATTTTCAACCCAGAGTAAGGATGAGAACCACTTATTTAAGGCTTCAAAAATGCCGTGTATTCAGTGTTAAGATATATGACTACTAATAGATTCTGGATATTCAGGGCACCGACCAAGACATGACACGATTCACATGGCTAGTCAACACTCTGGAATCAACCCCAAATATCTGGCTGTGAACATATCATCCCTTGATCAAGAGCCTTAACTGGGTTCCCATGGCCTAGAATAAAGTGAAAACTAGCACGACACTCAAGGAATTCTTCATGGCACTGGCAACTTGTGACTCTCTCTCTTTATCCACGATTCCCCATCACAGAACCACTCCTCATGACATCAGATGGCTTTTCCTGCTCCACACACATGCCCCATGCCACCTCACCCCCAGGCCTTGCTCCTCTCTCAGAGAGTGCTTCCTCTCTACACTGCAGACACTGACTTAAGAAAACATGTTCTACTGTTTACAGCCAGCCTGAGTGCTGCCGCCACTTCCATGAAGCCCACCCCAGAGCCCTCCAACAGCTCTGCCCTTTATATTTCCCCTCATCTCAGTCCACCTTTAGCATTCATCCCTGTCTCCTAAACACAGACATCCCAGCGTCCTGAGTACCTGTGAGCCCCTCAAGGGCAAGGACTGAGACTCTACACTCTTCTGTCCCCCCAGCAACCAGTGCAAGTTCTAACTCACAGGAGCACCCCATAAGTGATCTGTGATTCTATTAAAGTGCTCTGACAACCACAGTCCTCTACACAAGAAGCTGTTTCTAGACAAAAGAAATGGATTGCTTGATTTCTACAAAGAAATTTGAAACCAAAGACATAAATACCAAAATAAACACAAGCACCACGCTGGCCTAAAACACAGCAAGGAACCCTGTTCTTGTAGAGCCAATTCACTGTACCCCAATGAGTCTCGATCACTGCTGGGCTCTGCCACAGTCTAGAATGTAGTGACTCCGCAGTGACGGAGAAGTGTGTGATGGAGAAGTGTACAAAGGAATTTCTGCGAGTTTGAGAGGAAAGTACAGCCCACTTGAAAGAACTCTCCTCGAAGGCTCTCTGTTTTCTGGGAGATGTGGCACTCTGGGTGGAAAGTTAACTCTCCCTCCCCTCCTCTTTCTCCCCTGGGCAATCTTGTGAGCAAACTTTAAAACTGCTAAAAATAAGTCCAATTCCTTATTTGAAGGCAATGGCAACAAGCATAGCAGACACTAATTTTCTTTGTGACGTACAAGGGAGCACAGACCGAGCCGTGGCCATTTCCTCCTCCTTAGGAAGGGCCAACTCTTCTCAGCTGGAGAGCACATGGATGGGCAGCCCTTCCTGGAAAGGGTTAAGTGAGAGCCACTACCTGGGTGCTTGGGCCAGGCCACCTCCAGGACAAAGAAGGAGTTGTCAAGTTAAACACAAGCAGTCAAGTGACTGAATTATAATTTACTCTGTGCTCAATTTAAATTAGTGTGAAGCTATTAAAATATACAGTATAAATACGGCAATTCATCACAAGCTGTCATGGATGACTTCATTTATTTGCTGGAGTGGCACACGCTCCACTACAGGGAAGGGGGGGCAAAACCACAGGTCAAATCACACCACTCTTCTGCTTTAATTCACTTATGTAATCTGTGGCCATATAATTGTCTTCTACAGCCTGTACAACTCAGAAAGGAAATTTGGGAGGATTACAGTCAGTATACAAATGATTAATCAAATGGTCCATTTAAATGCTAGTTTAAAAGCAGCAGAAACCCAAAGCAGTCAAAGAATGACAATCAGCACACGCAACATACAATGCTAAGAAATTCCCTGTTAGAGGGCTCTTTCCCAATTAGAAAACCAACAATACTGGGAAATCTATTAACTCCTCCAAGCATCACTACCTGAAAGATTGTATAGAATACATTAATGGTATGAAAAGGTTTTGTCTGCAGGATGGCTAACAGTATTTTTATTTGTTTTCTGCTCTACTTATTTGCAATTGTCTTGCCTGCCTACACCAAACAAACAAAAAGGTAGAAACACGTTTCATGAGTTACATACGGTCATTATTAAATAGTTACCTTTAAAATGGGAATGGCATCATTTTCAAAATGCTCTCTTTGAGGCAGAAAATGTTCTGAAGTCAATGGTATAAAAGAAAAATTCAAAGTGGTTTTATTCTTTCCAAAATTCAACTTCTTTTAAAAATACCTGAAATGATTTATTCCTACCTTTGCAAGGGAAACATTACAAGATGCTTTTTTTTTTGTCTAAAAAATAACATTCAGGAGCAGAAAATGAAAAATATTTTGAATAGAAAGAGAAAAGTAACAGATTTCCAAGGACGCTCGTCTAACTGTCCCACAGACATTTAAAGTACGAGTCCCACTGACCACTAGACTTGGGAAATTCAATTTCCCTCATTACCTGATGCTGGCATCAGAGCCCTGCAGGTGACTGCTCAGACGAGGATTGTGATTTGCTGCCCCCTGCAATCCCTCTATGACACCAGGCAGCCCCTTTTCATAGCTGAGGTCGCTGGGAGGTTCAAGTGACACGCTTGAAGTCACACAAAAGTCAGGAGAGGGTCAGGAAAAGATCAAATGCACTTCTAACTCTTAACCTTCCATCTCACCCTTTAATATAAAAAAGCTGAGAAATATTCTGGGTGGAAGCAATGGGCCATACAAAGAATGTTACGTGACATTCCATCCGTGAGTGGACCTGCTTTCAAGACGAGACTTCACAAGGTGAACAAATGAACCAGAGAACAAACAAAAGAACAGCAACGTACTAAGTCAGGCAGGCATCTGAGAAACTGTGTTCTAACACTCCCCCCTCCATGCCTTACTTGGCACAGGCCCGGCATGCGAGATTCTCGAGAGTCACTGAGTAAGGAAAGATTTGTGAGATCCGCTCACACTTACAGAGAGGTTTCAAGGGCATAGCGGAAATGTATGTGTAGACTGAATGCAAAATACAAGACAGTGTGTGACAACACCCTTGAGAGTCACACAGAGAATTCTAGAGGTTCAAAGAAGAAAGTGAGTGAGAGGTAGATCACATGCAATGGGGATTATCCAGAAAAGCTCAGTGGTGCAGGCTTTGAGTTGATCCGTGAAGGTGTTAAAGATTCTGCCAGGAGGAGACACAGGTCAACACGTCTAAT